CACCTGTGAGGCCAGGCAACATGTAAAGGTCTCTGCTGATAGTCCATTCCACTCCAGATATTACAGAGGTTAAAAGTCACATGTTGCTTATCTTCTTCTTGACAAGGATTTGTACTTTCTGTTGCTTCAGACTTGTTCAATTTCTCTGCTGCTGTTAATGGGGAATGCAGTTCCTCATGCTGTGTGGTACAAAGTCCAGGCTGTGCTTCACAAAGTCCAGACTCACGACACGCGTTGCTGTTTTTCATTAAACCTCCCAAAGCTCTGCTCTTCTGCTGCCCAGGCAGGCCCTCGTGTTGATAAGAATCTCCATTTCTTTTAACACCAATTATGTTTTCCAAATGGGCAAGCTTATGTTCTGGCATGAACCTGTTAGCAAAAGGAAGAGAAAAATCTATATAGTGTTTACACTGGATTGCTTGACATTTTTTAATTAATTAATATTAAATGAAAAGAAAAAACAGTTGGTATTGTACTTCCATCCAAGCAGCAACTCCACTCAGTAACGCATTGCATATACATCTTAGAGAATATGGTGCCTGTGAAACCTCCACTGGCTGGGGATCCAAAAGTCTCTGAACTACAACACTGCTAACATCACAGCCTGGGAGATCAAAACTACTTCCCTACTAAAATAAAATTAAGGGAACATCTCTGGGAAGTAAAAAGGCAATTTCTGTTATTTTAGCCAGTGAAGCCTTGGCACTTTTGCTCAGACTACAGCTCAGAGTGCTAATAAATGCCAAACGCAGTGGTGTAATGACTTAACATGAGTCTTGTCTATGCCTAAGCTGACACCAGCAAGTGCCTTCATCACAGCTAAGTGAAAGCTAATACAGAAAAAAGATACACTGTCTAATAACATGGACCATACAGATTCCTGTGGCATGGAAACAGGGATTTTATCCAACTATCCTTTCCTGACTTCTGTAACGATCACCTGAGAAGACAAATCAAAACTTAGAAATCCCTTCGAACGACAGGATGCATTTGCACAGAACTGAACTCCTTTTGTAATACCTCAAATGCAACAGCACAGATCTACTTCATCATTTGAATTAAAGTAGAGATGGATGAATCGTGGTCCTTGCTCAGGAAACACTCAAGTGAAGCTCCTCCATGCAAACACAACTCTTCTAAATGAACATAAAGAGAACTACACGCGTTGCCATCACGGGATGCTCACTCCAAATGTCTGTCTGTACCTCAAGTTAATTTACTCAAATATTATTTACTTACATGCCCTTCAGTGTGATTATGGCTCTTCCAGATAAGCAGAGACATTTAAATTTTCTGTTTCCTTTTAATTTCCAAATGTTTACACACTATAGCCTGTTTATTGAAGTGTTTACTAAAGCGAACACTTGCTCCATTTTATCAACCTCCTCCACAGTTCTTCAGAGTTTTGCTCGATCACAGCAAGAGCTCCTTTCTGAGCTGTGAACAAACTGTTTGTCAAAACAAATACACTTAAATGCTGGAATCACCCTGCCCTGCAACGGAACACCTCTGAACACACAGGCCCTCTTCTTTTGAAATTACTACCAACATACAAACACACATACACTATATGAACTTCTTCTTCAAAAATCCTTAGATCCCCTTTCTTAAGTCAGCACGCTGTGTGACTATTCTGTGCAACGTGTATTCTTTGATTTGGGTTGCTGTTCCTTGGCCATTACTTTTATGTTTATCTATACAATGCTGCATTTTCAAGTCACTGACCACGCAACCTCTGAGATCCACCTTTTTCTCACTGCTCGCCATTCAGTAGCGGAGCTGCTCTGTAGATGCAGCCACAGCAGTTCAGCCACATTCAGTCATCTCTCACCCAAATCCATGATGCACTGGATATAGTTTACTGTTCCTAATAACATTTAAAGTAGATTTCTTAAAAGTTGTTTTGTAAACTGAAATCTGCACGTGCTGCTTATAACCCTTCCTGAGGTGATGCCTAAACTGGACCCTAGATACCAACTCGGTACGGCTGCCTATATTCCTATGTGCCTGGCTACTAAGCACATACACACTCTTAAAAGTTAGGTCATGATTGGACTCATGTTCTGAATCAAGTTTCATAGGGCTGACACAAGTAAGCTGCAGCCTAAGCTGAATATCTAAAACCATTGGGTCATGAAGATCCAAACCCTAGGACACATCAATAACGTCACTATGCATTCTATTTTACCTAATTATTTCATTTGTAAAATCCTTGTAAGATGACACAAAACTTAGCTAAGTTACCTGGCACCCATGCGAGGATGTATTTTCATATATTTATGCAGGGGAAAAGGGGAGGTGAAAATAGGTAAGGGGATTTTCCTTAAACCAACAAGCCTCTAAGAGAGTCAAGTGCACTGATTCATCCAATCACATTTAACTAGCAGACTTTGAAAAATCACTGCCATGAGAAGAACCACTTGATGCACTAAAGGTTGGACCACCTAAGTGTTCTGTCCTGTCTGTGTTTAATCTCCTAGCCAATCTACCCCTCACTTCACCATTTCTACATCAGAACAGGTTTTTTCCTTAGTTTTCAGTCCTCATAAATCTGCTCCACCATTTCTAATAATATTAGATAAAACTTCACTAATTTCTCTCCCGAATAAACTATTTAATACCCTTTTATTTAAGACATATGTGTGCAATCAATTCTGTTGTATTTACTTGTATTACACACACAGTATTCATCATCTTGACAATTTTAAAAAGTTTTAGAACACCATTTCACTTAACAGCTTAAAAAAAAAAAAGATTTATTTGATGGTTAACTTTGGAACAAGTTATCTGCATTAACTTCCATTGTTTTGGCATAAAGTAGTTCTGTATATTTTACTAACAACAACGGAGACATGATAAAGGATGTAGGCAGAGAGCCATAAACAGCTCTCACTGCAAGACCCAGTGTTCATGTAGAAGCATTAATTTTTTGGACTTTGATTGGAAGACATGTCTGTGTTCAGCCACTTGGATTTTACTAAATACAACCGTGTATAAAATGTTGTACCTGAATATAACAATTTTAACTGCAGAAAGACCACTGTAAATCATACATAGTATAAACCTGTCCACATGATTGGAATAATATAATGGATACTGTAGTCCCTAGCCACTTGCTAATGTTCTTTATGACACTTAAATAAATGACTTGAAAATAAAATAGCAACACAGAGTCTTCTAAACCTGCTCATGTGCCTTTCCCAAATGCATGCTGGAGAAAGACAATGTATAGTTAACACTTTTTTTCTGTCTGCCTTCTCTCTGGAGCAAATTTGCTCTAGCCACTCTTCTTTCTTCTTCCAAATTCATATTCAAGTCTTCTTTTCCCTCCCACCTTTCAGACTGAGTCGTCTCTCCACCCGGTACCTGCGTGGATCTTGGTCAATGTTAATCATCAAGAGCACGAAGGATTTCTACACCACCACCCAGCTGGGAATCTCAAAGGCATCTATAACTTTGGGAAAAGAAAACAAAACAGCTCCTCCAGTGTCTTATTTGGAGCCAGCCCCTGCTCCCACAGACACCATCACAGTTTCTGAAACTTCTGTCCAAACTTCAGAAAATACCACTGCGGGGAGGCAGAGCAGGGGAAGGATGCTGCTGGGAGTGGAGCATGTAAGCTTCAGGAGAAGGCTGCTACGGCAGCAGGTTGCTGGCTTCTACCCATCAAGACAGATTGTACCATTTTAAACCCCACTCTGAGGAAACCCATGAAATTTTACTTGGAGAAGACCTGTGCATTTTCCCTTGCTCTTCTGTAATGTTACATTACATTCCATGTCTTCATTTGAAGCACTTCGTTTGCCTAACAACAAATTACTAATGGAAATTGGTTTCATCTCATGGCACTGCAAGTGTGCACCATTGTATTAAACCAACAACAAAAAAGAATGGCAGGGCATTGATGTCACTGCTAGATGAATAGACACTACATCAGAAAATAGAGGGTTGGTTTAGGTCAGGTCAGATTATATAGGCAAGGTATGTGTGCTGTATACAGTTTGGAATAGTTTGTATGAATGGATGTAAGCTAAAACTGGCACTCTAAGCAAAGTTAAAGACAGTTCTGAAAGTGATGTGGATTTCTTTTTAAATCATATGGTGGAAAAAAAAGGTTTTAAAATAATAAAAGTAGATAAGAACGTTTTCAATTCATGCATTCTTACGGAACATAAGAAAAACTGCTCTCCAAAAGCCAAGTACAAGAGAGTCATTTGCAGTCCCTAAGAGCCACAAACCTTCCCCAGGCTTTGGAGATCCAACAAGTGCACTTTGAAGCTGCGGTGTTTATTTTGCCACTGATGGCGCAGTCATGTTCAGACACACAATTTAACAGACTCACTGTTGGAGAATCTCCTTTGTCTTCCTATCAGCATGATCACAAGCGTTTCTTTGCTACCTGTAACATGTCCAGAAGAATTTATGTGACCTAAAACCACACAGAGGTTCGTGATTCGTGCAGAGCTGATGGGACACAAAATACCTGGAGTCCATTTGCCTTATAACTGCCACAATGGACATGAGCTCCGCAGTAACTGGGAAATCCTACCTTTGCCCTTTCTTACCTTCTGCCTCCTGGAATTTTTCCCATTCCTATCATGAATTTGCTCCCATCACTACTGGGAATGTCCCAGCTGTAGACATTCTACGATCCTATAAAGTGACAAAACTTCAAGACTCTCTTTTAGTGACTTTTTTTTCTTGATTACAGACACATTTTGTTCAGCTGTGAGAAAGAACTGTTGAGGGTGTTCAGGTATCCAGAGCTGAGTTACAGTTGAAACCTAAAAGCCCGAAAGGAGATTCCCAATATTTAAGGAATTTGGTATTAGGGTTAACTGAAGTTGTCAAATACTTTCTGGGGTCTAATTTCTCTTTCTGATCTTCAGCAATGCTTGTATTTCTTCATTCAGAAGAGGGAAGAGATTACTTGTCAGCAGTAATCTCTAACACAGATAATGCCATATAAATATTAGGGGCTTATAAGCACGGACACGGATTAGGAGCAAAGAGAGAGAACAGAAATAAAACTGAACAGAGCCAAGATTAAGCACTGGGAAGGGCAAGGCAAAAGAAAATACAAGGTCTGTGGCTGAGCATGTCTTCCCACAGCTGAACATACATTTTCCTGAGTAGAATAAGTAGGATTTATGTAGAGATTTGGAGTGCTAACAGCACCTCTTCCCTGTTAGTGAAGTAAAATATATCGAAGCATCAAAATATTTGAGATGTGCTCATTCCCCTCTGTCATTATCTCCTCTCAGCTGTCTCCTCCATGACATGAGAAACATAGAACAGAGTCACGAAATCACTTCCAACCTTCTACCGAAAGTCCATCCAATTCTACCAGGTTGCTAAGGGCTGCATCC